TTTTAAACGCCTCTACCATCTTATGCAGTGTTTCTTCACAGGGGCAAATATTTAAATTTGGCAATCAAGTGGCTCTGAACTGATTGTTTTTCTTCTTCAGGATTTTCTTCCCCTTATGTCTGGCGCAGCTCTCCCCATGTCCCATGAACACTCGCGTGGGAAGTGCATATGGTTATAATACCTACTAGAGTTGGCAGAGATTCCCTGGACTGACCCCAGCGATTAAGCCGTTGCTGACTTCAGCAAACGAGTTGCTGTGCTGCTTAAAATATATGCAGGAAAGCATTTCTTTCATCCCTTTCCACTGCCTTCAAAAGGTAAGTCGTGCTATTCTTTCTTTCCTCTGAAATCTACCAAAGAAGATTTTTAATGGCCAAGTCGGAAAATAAAAATGTTTAGTTTCTCTATTTGAATGGAACGCTTCAGGAAAGAACTCTCAGGCTTGATCACTTGGAAGAGGAACTGAATCAGTCTCCCTTGCTACTCCATCTGCCAAACATCTGCGCAAAAACCAAGAGCTTCCCGTCTTACCGCCTTGCCATATCCCAAACTGCGTCATTCTGCACACCACTCAAATGGAGACCCACAAGCCACCGGCAGCGCATGGGCCACAGCACAAAAATCCTGAAACTGAACAATTCTTCACAGAATCTCTCCCAGTAATCATTTCTGCACTTTTAACTTACTATCTAGTGTCAGCTAAGTGACAAAGCAAACATTTCACGAAACTCCTTTAATCGTATCACCGACATTCTCACTTGGCTTTCTACCTACTTCTGAATTTTCTCTGTTGTAGCAGACCCTTTGCAGGTTCAACAGGCTGGCAGGTGTAAGTTTTCCTTACCGTTCACCCGTGTAACCTGGGCTGCAATGGCATTGCCCCGTTGCCGAGTCACAGGTCCCTCCATTGTGGCACTGACACTCCTGGGAACAGTTTTTCCCATAACGACCCTCAGGACAAGGCTGACCACAGACCGTGCCCTGTGTGCGCAAAGAAATCTTAATATTAGGCTCAGGACTGCAGCTCAAACAAACAGGGAAGAAAGATTTGTAATGGAGGAAGATCAAGGACATCTCATGTCACGTGTCTAGCGCTCATCTTGGAAACACTAGACTCTTCTGCAGCTTTAAATGGGGGTATGTTTCAGCACTGCGGGAATAATCTTCTAGGATTTCCATTCTGGAAGCCAAAGCTAATGAAAAACATTATCTCTAAGCAACAGTAAACACTTAGACATTTAAGACTAATTGATATCAAGTTCTTCCCAATTTCTTTATCAGGAGTAGAATATATCAAGACATCCGGAAATGCCCTCCGGTGAATAGTGGTGTAGAAAGCAATAATTGCTGTAATGCGCCAATTATACTACTTCATGATCAGATGGATTTAAAAAAAAAAAAAAAAAGCTGTTTATAATTTCATTGAAAAGTAGCATGTCTTAAAAGCTTAGGTATAATTTGTGCTTCCCTTATACAGGTCTTGAATTTCTGCAATGCTATTTACCTCCTTGGAATTAATTATACCTGTGCAATAAGAGGAGAATCAGATCTTAAGACTCTCAAGAAGCCAGTTCAAGAGCAACACCCTTACAGGCATTTCATCACAACTAACAAAGGATACTGTCGGTTTGAAGCCTGGCCACTTTATACCAGCCTTACATGAAAAGCAAAAAAGGCTCTGCTGAACAAATTGCAGCTTATGGAATTCAGAAGTCTAAAACTATGAGTTATGCTTACATAACCACTTGGAATGGAAAATTAGTCAAAGAGCTAATTAGAAATCTATTAGTTAACACATATTATTATAAAATTTTCATCACATGTTTACATGCGACATCATTTTTCATTAGCTGCATTTAGGCCAATAAAGCTAGTCAAGAATTCATGCACACACTTGTATCTTATCATCATTAATTTATGTTTTTCCATCGTTAAGTAAAAATTGCCATAATCTGAGTTAGGTACTTAAGTGAGTGGTGCTATGCAAACACACAAAGAGATTTGAACCGTTTGTAACTATGTTCTTTAGCTGGTGCAAACCTAATCTCTACTGCAAAAGTCCTCCTATATCATGAGCTAATTAAAAATTCAAGCATATTTTCACTCAAAATGGACAGTTTCACAGAAAACATTTTACTATTAATAAATATTATCTAAAAATGCATTTAAAACAATTACTTAAGTTTTGTTCCTTCTAACTCCAATATTTTCCAACTGAAAATAGGCAGCCTAGTAGTAGGGGAGACTACAGGCAGGCAAAGGGTAAAAAGTTTCAAGAGAACGTCAAAGTTACGATGTTCTATTTCTGTCACCATCACAGTATCTAAAAGTTTGGTGTTTTACTCTCCACTTGCAAAGAGGCACAAAATCCAGCCCAAAAATGGTGCTACCTCCCTATAATATCACATTGTGTCTACTGGCAAATGATTTCTAGACAAGTTTTAAAGGATGTTTAAATCAGGTTCTTTGTCTCCCAGAATCTGACATGGTTAAAAAAGGGCAGAGCAGAACTGGGGGCTATTCAATAACAGACAGTTTTGCAAGTACTTTATTCCATTCCCTTGCAGGAGCAGCATATGCTAAAATAACTTTTCCTATTATTTCTGGCTGCAAGCAGACCGCATTTGCTATCCTAACTCACTATCCGTTTCGAACACTGCCTGAAGTCTACAAACGTGGATCCTTCGGAGGGTTGTGTTGATTTTGGAAAGCGTTTTTACCATCCATCCGGGAGGGCAGGCACACTCGCCGGTGACGTGGTGGCACACTCCTCCATTCTGGCAAGGGCACCTCTCCTCGCATTGCCGCCCGTGCTTCCCCGGCGGGCAGAGGTCCTCACAGCTAAAGGGTTGGGAAGAGGCAACTGTTACTTCGGTATACTCTCCTGTCTCCAGATATCTCTATTTTTAACGCTCTAGTTAATTTTCCAGACAAGAAATATGAAACAGAAGGCAGTCCAAACTAAAAGCGATGCAAACTGTACAGTATATGTGCAAGAAATCTAAGGAAACAGACCGAGCAGTCCAGAAATTGTAAGCAGATTTTTTTTTCTTAAAGATATCTCTTCCTACACTAATTTGGCTTGGTGCTGGTTCATTGTTACTGACAAGGCTCAGAAATATATTCCAGAATGAGAAATCCAAATAACTGTACGTTTCAATGCTATTTTCCAATCTCGGAGCCAAACAGTTCTCACATCGGCCATAAGGAAGCTCCCATGGCTACTTCTCGTAGCTTTTATTCAGCCGTCCAGATGGAGGGGCTTTCCCTCAAGTGCACTTCTGCAAATGCATGGAAAGAAGGTTTCCCCGCTTCTTCTCAGCCAGTCCTGCTCCTCTGTAGTATACAGTAGCCAGACTGACCAGATAGTGTTAAAAATTGTTCTAAGCTTAGTTTCTCTTGATAGCACTAGGCAAATCTCACACCTCTCCCCAATAAATAATACACCCTCTGCTTACAAGGCACCAGTGTATCCAGGAGGACATCTGCACTCTCCAGTCACGTGGTCACAGGTGGCTCCGTTTTGACACTGACATTTTTGATGGCAATCATTTCCATATGTCCCTTGGTCACAGCGTTCCTCACAGCGCCAGCCTTTGAAACCCGATGCACAGTGGCAGGCTCCAGTGATGGGGTTGCATAAGGCTCCATTTTTGCACTGGCAACGGCTGCTGCAGTGAGGTCCCCAGTGGTCACTGTCACATGCTGAAGGGGCAGAAGGAAAAGTTTACAGCAGTTTTATAACAGCTCATGCTACAGCGCTGAAGATACGAGTCAGCTGTACAAAAAAAAAAAAGTTATGAAACAGAAAAAAATACTGCAGTGTACAATAGAAGAGACATCCTCGGCGTTCCCTAGTCCTCAAGGGTCTTGATACGCAGACAGAACTTAATTTATGCTTACAAATTAATTTCTTATGCATAAAAGAAAACGCTTTGAAATGGGAAACTGAAGCAAATGCAAGTTCCAGTCTCTTCACTGGAAAACTCTTCATTATGACTCTCCACTGTTAAGTAATGGTTGAGATTGGGGTGAGCCTTTATGCACACAAACAAGTCTCGGTGACTTAAAAAGTAAAAAATAGAGTCCAGATCCATAAACAATGATCTGAATCTCATAAAGACATTGCAAAGCTTACTTATCATAAGATTACCATACTGCATGGCATTTCTTTTTCCAAATCCAGAAGTTCCTACTAGTTTATGTGACTGCAAATAGTTCCTTTTCAATCTTGAAACACAGTGATAGTGCAAAAGAATACACAATAAATAATATTTCACCAAGCAACAGAAACTAACTATGATGTGGTTAAACCTCATCTGGATGTTACCATTTTGGATATCCAGTGTGCTTTTACAGTCATTCAAGTGCATCTTTTTTTCGTCTGCCCCAATGTAGTCCATTAAAACCCTGTAAGCAAACCACTCAAAGAACATTCACTGTCAAAAGAAAAACCTTAATGTTCAGGAAGAATTTTTCTTAAGTGAGAAACACAGGAGTTCTGTAAAGAGATGGAAGATTAAGGTCATCTAGAGTTCAACAGGGATGTGCTAATCATATGCTCAAATGATCTGCTTTATATTTTTAAGTTCTGTTGTTAACAACAGCGCAACAGCAAAAGCTCAGCTGCAGTAGCTGGAAGCCCAAGCTCTGTCCTTTGTGACTGACAACCATTGTTGTCTCAGTCTTCTCCTGGGGCAAAAAAGCCAGGCAGAGAGCAGACATGTTTTCTTAGAGTTAGACAAAATAATTCAAGATACCGCCTCAGGGTAGGAATTATTTTGCTATAGGAACTGATCACTCAAGCTACACAAATAAAAAAAGGATTAGAGTCTTTTAAGAATTTTTTAAGATTTTTTTCTAGTAAAGGTCATTGGCACATGCATCCATAATGTAGATACTGCATCCATCTACACGCAATACACAGTAACAAAAACATATATATTATAAACATCCAATACTCTTAAACAAACTGACAGAAGACTGCTCATGTTATTACTGCCTTCTCTCGTCTCCATTCATGTATTTGAAGATGTGTATTTTCTGTTCTGGGCTATATGGGCAACTCACTACTGTCCATGCCACACCATGCCTCTGCCATAAGATGCCTTCCACCATGATAATTCGCATTTGTTCAGAACTGCTATGCGTTTCTTTTTATCTGGCCTACATGGAACAAAGCATAATCCTCATGAGCATGTCCTCAATTTCTCCTTAGCAGACTAGCTATTTTTGGAATAAGGGTGGTGGATTTCTGAGACAGTTGCATGTTCTCTCAGGACCCCTACACTCTTTTTGCTTACTACCTCAGACTGCATTCAGATAATGGTCCTCCTTCTGCTCCTACATTGAAAAAAATAAATAAATAAATAAAAGAAAATCCACAATTTCAGCCATTCCTGGGATGTCTGATGAACTGAAGTATTCAAACTGACCACCAGACCGCAACTGTTCCCAGCACAGAACTCAGTCAGGGATGAACCTGGCCTGAACCCTCTTTAGATATAAAGAGACGACACGCAAGAGAAGACTTATTCTTGGCTGATATATTCCAGCTCATATTCTTTTACCAACACCTGGAAGTGCAATATCTGATGCAGTCCAACAACACTCATGCAGCTGTTTGAAGAATCACCGCAAGGATTCTCAGAGCCCTACAGACCCAAACCCTGCCACACACCTGCCACGGCAGCGAGTACCTAGGCACCGGGGCTGCCTCGCTAGAGGCTGGTTCACTTGTGAGGCAGTGGAGGCCTTGCACTCCCTCCGCTCTATTCAAAAAATCCCGTCTCCAGCCTGCCTCCCCGGGATGCTCGCTGCTGTCTCTTGGAGATTTACTGACGTCAGAGGTGAACACACTATGTCTCTGAACTTGTCTAGACTATTTTACTGCAAGAGCATGTACCGCACAGTACATAATAATTTAGTAGTTTCCTGGCATGATCTTCTCATTATGTTTGCAGGAAATCATTAAAATAAAAGGCATCGTGTGTCCGCTAATAGGATTTCCAACTTCATGACCAGCCTCTTGGCAATGGCCAGGTGCGTAACAAACATTGACTACATAATTATTTTCCTCCAGCGCAATGCCAAAGCGCTCTACCAGAACAAGCCTGGCGGTATGACAGTTTGACTGTATGATAGTCCATTACACAAGGTCTGTCCCCAGCCTACTATCTAACTGTGAGTTATGGGGCAGAGCTGTGGGGAAATCTGCAGGATTAATGGGAATAAATAACATTTTTGAACAAGACAGATAAATCACATATTTTACCTCTCTGTCCCTTGACTGCTAATCAATAATGTCCCCCGCAGGAAATTAAAGTGATTTCTCTGAAAGCGATACTTAGATTACTGCTAAAAAAGGGGGGCAAGGGGTAGCAATGTTTCCTGTGGCAAGTTCTGTTTCTTTTTTAATTAGTTTTGGAGGCTAAATTTACCAACTATTACATCAGACTATTTCTGCTGCTTCCTAGTATTGAGAAACGAAGAAAGCCAGGCTGGAAGTTGCACAGCTGCTAATCTGGTGGAATGGATAGTCTTGGAGTTAATGACTGTGGTCGAGTTACAGACTGTCAGCTGGAGTTTAATCAGAATAGCTGCTACGACTGTCCTGACTGCACCAAGGTCACGTACTCACGCGCCTACGCAAACAAACACACACACACACACACACGTGTCAGCTACTGACTTCTGAACAGAACTGAAGTTGTAAATCATCTGCCTCAATGCAAGGTGTATGTGAAAGGGAAGTAAAATATGAAGACAGAAGTCCTATGTTCTGAACACTTCCAACAACAGATAACATAACCCAGCCCCACTAATTCCTGGAAACAGACTGAATGCTGCAACAGAACCCATAAACCAGCAGTGAATTTTCTATATTTATCATATAGAACTGGCCGATTCTGCTTTGTTTCACGCAGAGCAGCTTTCTTCCAAAAGTCACTTCCTTTCCCTTTTCACATACGTTAAATTCACTTTATATTCACCTCCGGGTTTTTCTCTTTTAAACAGAAGAGGGAACTAGCTGTACTGCTTTTGTAGGAGACTCGCCGGGTTTTTCCTGCCTTCATCTTAGGCTGCAGGGAAAAAAATAAATCAAAATAAATGTTTAACAAACACTGTGTGGTACTGATGTCACATCTTGTTGTCGTTTTTCTTTTTATACATTCTGTTCATCTGGGAATATCTTTTTAGTCACCACAGTACATGCTGTGCACATCTCACAGTGTTAGAGATATGGGACAGAAAACTTCTCTCTCAAAAGGCTGCTCAGGGAAAGTGAAAGCATCCCTTTAGGAATAAGGGCATTACATTGTATAAACTCTCTTTTAAAGTAAATATGCTATGAAACCCTAAGACAATACCAGTCTACCAACATGAAAACAGATCAGAAATGCTCTCTGAAGCTCAGTGCCAAATGACAACTTTAAGGACAGACACCCAAGGATTCAAGTGTAAAAGAATCACCTTCAAGAAAAAAAGAAATGAAAATCTGTGATGCAAACTGGTATCATTCTTGGGCCTTTTGTAGAATCTTTGAAGATTTAAAGTTGTGTATTTCATATTATAATAAGTGTAATAATGCACATTGTTATTATGCTGGCCTGGTCTCGTTTTTATGCACACGGCTTCTGTGAGCTGCTGGCAATTTGCAAATTGGGATGCAGGGAGCCCTGATATTTTACACTGCAAGATACAAACGTGTATAATAATTTACAGGCCCACTTGAAGAGTTTTAAAACTTCTTTCTTCCTCCTTATAAACAAAGGCATTTTTAATGCAACGTGCTCGCATACGTGTCAGTTTTTTTCTTTTTTTAGTTGATTTCACTGAAAGGCAATAAAAAGGGAAGTGCAAATGAGTGAGTTTATTCCTGACTATCTACCCTGATCACCTACAGTTCCGTACTTCTCTAAAGAATGGCATATAATGAGAACAAAATAAGGCTATCAAATCAAGCCAAAGAACGTTTCAGAAGAAAATTCTCCTTAGAAACTCTGACTTAAGTATGCTACAGTTGCCTTTATAACATTATATTCAAGGTAGACAACGTTCATTGTACTTTTTCTTTTTTTTTTTTTTTAAATCAGACTTCCTTCTCTTTTTGTTTTTTTTTTTTTTTGCAAATAGGGAGGTGAAAGTGAAGAATCCTAGCAAAACTAGAATTTACTTTTCTTCCTCTAATTTTTTGAAGCTGTCCTACATGCAGCACCAAGACAACGGAACGCGATTTTACTTTGACTTGCAGACCTTTTTGCTTTTGCCCAGCAAAACACTGTTGTGTGTTTCTGTAGATACAGACCATTGTCGCCAAAACAGAGGAGACGCATATCAGAGCATTCGGTTAATGTAGTTTCATGGTGTTTTAAAACAACTAAAAAGTAAATAGCCCCACCTCAACCGCCTGCAGAACAGAATGAACTGCTCCCTCACTTGGAATGCAATATTGTCAAGTATAAATTTATCTTAAATAAGCAGTGGCCAACAAGCAGAATCCCTATCCCTCCGTCTCCTCAGAACTCCAGCATAACTTCTTCAGATAGGTTCAAGGGAGTAACAGCCTTTAACAAGTAAAAGTTGATTTGCCCTGTTCCAGTGTGTAAAACAAACTGATGCTGCCCATAACTTCAACACCATCTTCGACTGACCTCTCTTCCTTGGTAGGCTGTCACATCAAGGACAAGTCTAAATCTTCATGC